TGTTTGTTCATTTTTACACTATTCCAGTATTCAAATTGATATCCAGTCTTGAGACACATAATAGACACAGTATAACAGAATATAACATCTCTGTGAACACTAAACACTATATACTGCAGCTATGTACAGTTGTTGGTTTAAACTGGATCACAGAGGAGCCTCCAGTCACAGTGAGGCTGCTTCATCAGGAGCCAGGAACACACATGGGGATGGTTTGAAGAGAAATGGTCATAAGACAAGAAACATATGTAAAAGCAAAATAAATGTAGTCTTTTATCACACAGTGCACATTTCAGAATTATGGCTGCACTGTGTGGGATGTCTTCATAAAGCTGCTAGCATTCTTTAATAATCAAAAATAACACACTATTTTTTTTGTGACATGACACTTCTTTTCAGTTCTATTAGAATGGATGATTATCTGTGTGTGGCTCACTTGGTTAATTTTGTCATCATAATTGTATATGTATAATCCATCCATCCATTTTCGTCCGCTTATCCGGGGCCGGGTCGCGGGGGCAGCAGCCTAAGCAGGGACTCCCAGACTTCCTTCACCCCAGACACGTCCTCCAGCTCCTCCGGGGGGACCCCGAGGCGTTCCCAGGCCAGCCGAGAGACACAGTCCCTCCAGCGTGTCCTGGGTCTTCCCCGGGGCCTCCTCCCGGTGGGACATGCCCGGAACACCTCCCGAGGGAGGCGCCCAGGTGTATATGTATAATGTTATCCTAAATTAAGATAGATAGCATTGGTGTAAATTTTATATTGGTATAAGTATATAAACTTCTTAGTCACAATAGTACTCCAGATCAACCTGGGCATACCTGTAATGTATTTTATGTTTTTCTTGTTACTACATCAGCAGACCTCCCATCCTCTAGTGCATTTTTGGTATTTAAAGTGCAACAGCAATACTCACAAAGGGATTAGGTTAATGCATAGAAACACATAATGTTTGTAACTGGCTGAAGTAGCCTATCCAAAATGTACCCAGTGTGGTCAAGGAAAGGTTTGTCAACTAATGTAGTCTTTACCGTCGAATAAGTGTACCATTATTTCAAACTAAACAAATGTTTGATAAGTTCATTATTGCCCTTGGCCACTCAGTCTGGTCTGCCAGAGGTTGTGGGCTGCACCTTATAAATAGGCCAGAATCCATCACTTCACACACGCCTGCATATGGCGCTCTGGGAGGACAATGGGAGGCGAGTTTGAAAGGCCAAAGATTCAGACAACACTGTAAAAAAAAAAAAAAAAAAAAAAAAAAGGAAAAAAAAAAGAAAGGTAAGATAAAAATAGGTGACAGTGTGGGGTAAAGAAAATATAAGGTGCTAGACAGGCTGAAGAAGCAGCTGCTCCGCTTTAGGGCCCTCTGAAGTCCTCTATAAATCCTCGTCACGTATTTAATCCATGGAGCGCTGAGCCAAAGGATGCACGCTTGTTACTCACCTCTCCACCTTTACGCGCTGTCACACCCCCTCTCCTCCCTCTCCCTGTAGCAGCAGCCGTCCCGGGAGCAGACTGGAGGCGCTACGGGATATCCTATCGGGGAATCGCGGCAGGAATGCGCGCTCCTCCTGACAGCCGCTTCTCCCCGTACCGCAGCCTGAATGTGTTCCCAATTAAGCGCATCTGATAAAGCGCCAGTGAAACTCAAGGCGCCCGTCATCAATAGCACTTGACTGGTCCTGTCAGGCGGGCCGACATTGACACATGGCGCGGTGATGAATCGCCGTAGTGCCGTAGATAATTGTCTCGCCACATCTTCCTTTGTGGAGGTGTCGTTGAACTCCGCTGTCAAAGGCGCGAGCGCTTTGAATACGGCGCGTCACGTTCAATCCACGTTCAATTAATCTTTCTGAAGTAGGGAGGCTCCCACAAACCCGCTTCTACTCCATCTACCTGTCATTACGCACCAAAACAAAGACTATAGGAGGGAAAAGTAACTACAAATACTCACATTATTGTAAGCTGATTGAGTAGGGTGACCAGATTTGCTAAATCAAAGACTGGGACACTGGTTTGGGATGGTTGGAAATAATAAAATTGTGAAACGCGTAATTAAGGAAAAATTGTTCTGCACTCGGCCCATTCATGTGAGTCAGTATAGTTACATTTTCTCTGTGTTTTGGTCATTTTTAAGAAGCTTTTCTATATTTTACTTGAACATGTGTCAATTTATGCCTTTCATTACTGTTGGCAGGGATCAAATTGGCCAAAAATAGGGACACCTGGGACATTTCTTGGATATAACTGGGACAAATCGATAGTTTTGGATAAATCTGCTAAGAAAAGGGACACAGGGCTCAAAACTGTGACTGTCCCGGGTAAACAGGGACATCTGGTCACCCTATAATTGAGCGCATTTTGGGGTAATAGGCTAATACGCTACTTCTTCACCGAATTTTAAGTCTGTAACCTACTTGTCATACGCAGCACAAACTGACCTTTGTGCTGCGTTGTGCAGGTACCTAAACATTTTTTGAATTACACACACAATTTAAAACTCAATATGATCTATTTTGAAAGTTTAAAGGTCGTCAAAATGTCACCAGTAACATGGAGCTACATCCCACGAATAGCCCACAAAAGGATAAGATGTTTATGATTTTACAAGAGAAGTCAAGCAAATGTGATAGAAAAGATAGGCTTCCTCTTGTTTGCAATAATGAGAAGAATTGAGAGAAAAATGAGAGAAAATTCATATTGAGTAATTATTAACCTCAATGTAGTCAAGTTAAAAAAATAAAATAAAAATAGCACTTACACGATCGTCTGGAGTGCCAAAGAACGCCTCTTTACTCTTTTATGTCAGAAGCCACACAAGCATTTAGGGGGGCTATTACTGCCCCCGTGTGGTCAACTGTAACAACAACCCTGATAACCTAGTAGGTGCTTAAATTTACAACAGCAGTTTTAACCTCACTAAAGCATTAAAAACGATATACATTTTGGGTTTGTTTCTACTGTAACCTATAAAAATAAGCACTCTCTTTTCGCCTTCTCAAATCGCTTTAGTAACTCAAAATGTTCATTATTCTGGTGTGTTTTTTATTATCACTTTAAATTACAGTATAAGCTTTTATTATTTTGTCTCCTGAGAGGCACTTACAGTTAAAAGTGGTGCCACATAAATAAAAATTTATTATGGTCATTACTAATTGTGGTAGTGTGTTTCTGTTAGCCCAGGGCATATGTACAATACAGTAGCAGCCTCAGTTCCCTTTCATTTGAACTGCCATAATGAGCTGTATATTGTAATGGGGCAGCAGACTTAACAGTAGTCAGATGGCAGTGGCTTGGTTCACATCACTGTAACAAGTATGTCCATATATCCAGGAAGTCTGAATGTGAGTTCTAATAAGGCTGTTAGGAAAATTGTAATCACATGTGCTTTCTACCTCCAAAAGGTTTCACTTCAGGGACACAATCTGTAAATGTCCATAGCAAACATTATGCAAGACAAGTTAGCAGAATAGGCTAGATAAAAACAAATATCTGGCAACCAAACTATTCTTTATATTATGTGTAGTCCCTCAGGTCTCCAGGTAGGATCCACAGAAAAGAGAAATTCAATTCTATCAACTTTTTATTCTTTATATTCTCTCTCTCTGTCTTTCTATTTCCCTCCTCTCTCTCTCTACCTATCTGTCTATCTTAGAGTAACCAGATTTTCAACATTCAAAACGGTGATGGTTTGTATAAAAAAAATTGAAAGAGTGCATACCATTGTCCATTCTCGACTCACTTGAGGGTCAGTGCATAATCTAAAGGACTTCTGGTGCAACTGACTGCATTTCTTTGCCTTTACTCTTAGTGGGTATCAAATTGGTCCAAAATATAGACACTTGGGAAATTCCTTGTATAAAACTGGAACAAACTCACTGGCTTTGGATAAATCTGTTGGGACAAGGGATACAGGGCTCAAAAGTGGGACAGGTAAATATGGACATCTGGTCACCCTAATCTATCTCTTTTTGTGTGTGTCATGGTCTTATATATATGTGACACAAATAACTTGCACAAGTAGCATGTCCATTCATAGACCCTTCCCTTGCCGTACAATAACAGACATACAGATAATACATGTACATTAGTAACAGCGGAGGTAAAAGAATCACACGCTACACTTCACCCACACGGGCCATTAATAAAACACGTTAACCTATTATTCACATCACATTAGCTGCATTTACTGCTGCAGCTGCAATGACCTATTTCTGTGAGCATCATTACATATTCTCATCATCAACATTGATCATATCATTCTGGCAACTCAATACAGAGATGCATGGTGCTACCAAGTAGACAGAATCCATGTGAGAACCATTATTATTTCCAGGTCATCAATGATCTCGGTAGCCTTGATCTTGTACTTAAATATCATGTGGAAACATGTCTGTGATCAACACTTTCACATAAAAAATATACACATCTCAAACAGGAAAACAATCTAGGTGTGTTTCAGATGCATCACAACACAATTAGCTGCACTATGTAACATTTCTGATGAGCAACTTGGTTGTCTCTATGGAGATAATATTGCTTTGCCTGAGATGTTTCACAGTATGGCATTAAACTGTGAAGACTACAGTATATCTTGCATTTATTTATTTCCAGATGTTTTATTGCTGAAAAGTTGGCTACATGGAGTTTTGATTATGTCACTTCTAAGTCCAACTGGCAACTTCACACCTGTTCTAGCTTTTTTTAATTTTTAATTTTATTTTGCTACAATTCTTCTTTCTTATGGACCCGGAAGTGACACACTTAACGTTGTTTTTTTATGCCATACAGTAGAAGATTCCATACAAAGCAAAATCTCCATAGAGAAAGACAGGATGCAGAAACATTACACAGTGCACCATTTAAAGTTCTAAGGCCAAGTTATAAATTATAAGGTTCAACATTTGAGAGTTAGTAGGTTAGTAAACTCATATTGAAAAAAGAATGGGGAAGTTGGAGGCCTACAATTGTGTGAAATGAAAGACACAATTAGACAGTCGTTTCAAATGCCATTTATGTCATTGACTTTTCATTAGTCTAGTACAAATGCATACACATACATTTCACCATCTAAAACCACAGAGCAAAACCACTATTGCAATAAACATCACCGAACAAATAGAAAAGAGACTTGAGCTCAAAGGGGCTTACACGATCACATGCTCATTCATTACCATAATACACATTCAAATAGAGCATTCAATATTTACACATACATACATTCGGTCCCATTCACACACACAGCTTATATATATAATACAGCATTGAAGAAGAGTGGCTGTAAAAGGCATGTTAAGGGGAGTGTTACAGTAAGTAGTATGAAAAAAGGGGAAACAGCCTAACAAAGTGTACATAGAACACATTTTTACACAATTAAGCCAACTTTACTTAATATAAATATTCTTCATCCAAAAGTCAGTGCAGTGCCTGCTCAGGTCTGGTCCAAACCCAGTCTACTACAGACCTGGTCCTAATTACTCATCATCACACAATCTTTAAATCAGTATCACGCTATGCTTTGGGTGCGTGCGTTATGTGGTCTAGTACCTCAAAAGTCCAGCTGTGAAGTACTAGAGTGGTTTGACGTTACATAAGCCAATACAAAAAGAATGACAACTTTACAAATGTCCGCTTGTTTTTTTGTGTTTTGTTCTTTTTTTTTAGTTTGACTCCTGAATTCCCTTTTTAAAAAGAAGTTCACATATGGCGTAGCTCTACTGGATTCCCCTGAAGAGACACATTGCGAAGACCATGGCGAAAAGCTGCAAAAAGAAAACAAATAATTATCAAAATTGTAAATAACTTAATAATAATTCTAAATTAAGATGTGTTCTATATTGCTTTATTTGATTCACAGCGAGGAATATGCTTAGTTTAATTGTATCACCGAAACAGGCTATGTAAACTCCAATTTGTTTTGGAATATTAATAAAGGATCATGGTCTATGTAATAACCTTTGTTTTTTACAGTTGCTGCAACTAAACAATGCATTTAAGAAAAGAAGCTTTACATTTGATGCACTGTGACAGCCCACAATATTATGAGATATTTGACTATATAATATATCAGCTTTTGTTTCATATTTACTTATTACCACTTTGAGCTACAGTAGCTTATCTGTTAAATGTAATGCTAAAAGTTCACAAGAGCTGAGATTTTCTAAAAACCCATTAACTATTTTGACCTTGGCTAATTTTATTTTGCTTGCTATTTTGATCAATCTTAATTAAGCGATTAATTTGTACCCTAATAGATTCCATGATGATGAAAGCCTGTGGTCATAATGTTATGCTCAGTATGTGTGCAGCCTGTAGCTGCAGCGTTGCTGTACTACACTTAACCACCAGATGGAGAACTTGCCATATGTAATACAAGGATATGCACTTTCAATAACTGTTAAGTGTGACACTACTATAAAACGTTCCACAAAATAATTACTTTCACAAGAATATAAAATACAGCTTATAAAATTATTCAGTATTTTTTTGTATTTATTTTTATTTATACCTCAATGGTCAGCACCACAATAGCCAGTGCTCCAGCCACGTAGATGTAAAGTTCAAAGTAGTCGACCACAGCGGAGTAACAGCCCTGCGGACACAAAGACACAGTGTGAATGAATGGGCCATAAACAACAATAAACACAGTGAATAATAGACACAATTAAAGCAACACTCCCGCTTTAATCGAGTGAGGCGGTGAACAAAAGGATGATTGAAAGACTGTGGAAACACATCCTCACTGCCTTTTAATGAGTCTCTTTTTGTGTGAAGAAATACAGACACACACGTCTCCAGATCATGAAGCCATTGTCCTACAGGTTTGAACAACAACAGGTGGAAAAGCACGGTTCAAGCCTCCTCCTCTTATCTGCTCTAACTCATTCAACACATCCTTCATATTCAAACACTGAATAACAAGCCACTGAGTAACAAGTAATATTTTCACTATATCTATCTATCTATCTATCTATCTATCTATCTATCTATCTATCTATCTATCTATCTATCTATATCTATATCTATATCTATATTTATACAAATAAAATTGACTGTATTATTGTGGATAACAGTAAGGAATGAGAGAACATGGTGGTATAAAGTTTTATGAATTGTTAAAAAGTAAAAAAAAAAAAATTGACAGGCCATTAATCATAATTTGCCTGATTAAGTAACAAATCCCAGCTGAACTCTTCACTGTGTAGAGACTTCTGATTATGATGCGAAATTATGACCTTTGCTATAGTAATTACCAATTTAAACAAAGTTTTACATCTTTCAAATAGGAAAATGTCCTCAAAAGGTAATGTAAATGTAAGCAATACACTATAGTTTCATTCATAAATTTGTTGTTTTTATATTTGTCAGGTCTTTGTTTAATTTTCGCAATAGAAACCAGCGACTCCAAAACCTTCTCTACAGCACAAATTCAACTTTCCCATTTCACAAAAAATTTTATATATTTTGAATGGAAAAAAGTCCTCAAAAAGTAATGTAAATGTAAGCAATGCATTATAGTTTAATTCATATTTTTTTTGTTTTTATATAGTCAGATCATTCTATGTTTAATTTCTGCTATAAACACCAGGTACCCCAAAACCTTCTCTACTGCACAAAGTCAACTTTCCCATTTCACATGTTTCAACTCCGTGCATACTTCCAGTGAATACCAACTATTCTAATATGCACCACTCACACCGACATCCATGACAGTAATCAGCCATGGAGAAGCCACAGTGGTCCCTGGGTGTCACCCCTCAACTGTCTCCTGCTCTAATTAAGCTGAAATGTGCTTTAAAACGCAGACAGGACGGAGCAGATGCACGGGGGACAGGTGGAGGCAAAGGTGCTGATAAGACGGTTGTCAAGCAGTTACCTTATTATTGCGGAACATCATATTTCCCGACAGGCACTGCTCCTGGCTGATGTAGGCGAGCTCTCCGGCCTGATTGGCGCGCTGGCAGCAGGCCTCGGGCACCACATGATCCGGGTTGATGCGGCGGAAAAGACTGTCCTTAAAATCCTCAGGGCTGTTCACTCCGCAGCAGTCAAACTAGAGGCGGACAGGGGGACAATGAAAAGGCCATTAAAAGAGAGTGCTGGCTATTTGAGCAACAGCGGTCAGTCGTGTGTTCATGTGGCAAAAGGAAAGGAGCAGTGCCCTAAATGTCTGGGTTTGTAACTGTGGAACGTAACAAGATGTGTAAAGAGGTCCAATTTTTTAAAGGTTTAATTTAGGGGTGTTTTAAGTTGTAATTTTGCAAACCCGTGTCTTTAAAAAAAATATTAAATGACTTCTCTTCCTGTCTGTTCACTTTACGTCAAATAATGTATATTTTTTTTTTACCTCTGATAACTGGAATAGCTACTGTAAAACATGTGTATTTATGAATAATTGACCTAAACATCTGGAATTGTACTAATAAAACAGTAAAAAACAAGTGTAGTGAAGTGAAGTTAACCTTTGTAAAGGTTTAATACATAATGGTAAATGGTCAGTGGTCACATTTTTATATTACTCTTTTCCGACTTCGAGGCACTCAAAGCTCTTTACATCAAGGAACCAGTCAGCCATCCACACACACATTCACAGACACATTCACACGCATACACTGGGGATGAGATGAATTAAGTGTCTTGCCCATTCATCTGTGGGAGCTGTCAGTGGATCTGACTGCTCTACCAATGATGTTTATGTCTAACCTTCAGATCAGAGGACAAACACTCCACCAACTGAGCTACTGTTGCCCCAAAATATATTTCCTATAGGATTTTGACTTGTTTCAATAACATAAAAAACAGTTTGCATTTTTTAAAATGTGTTTTATTTTTGGCATCCGCACTTGCCATACTTGCTTACTTACTTCCCCAAATTACAGCATCTTGATCACCTATCATAGTAGGTTGGGTTGCCTGACAGACAGTTGCTTGAAAGCACAGCTGTGTGTTTATGGGCATACCGTGGTCATGATGGCGTTCCATGTAGAAGTGAAGACGTCCGTGTTGTTGACGCCCTGATAGTGCCTCTTCAGCTCCTTGGTGAAGTACTCTCTGGTCAGCTAAAGGTCACGCAGAGGACACAGTAGTTTTATTACAAGGAGGATTCTTTCCAGGTTAATTATTATTCTTTTTTTCTACACTTTAGAAGACAAAAGAAGTACAAAGAAGTATTTTCACAGAACAGTTAATTAATGTACGGCCTCATAGATTTAAGACTTGTTATTCAGTCAATGAACACAAGTGCAATGCCATGTAATCTCAAATAAACACTAAGGAACATAATCAATATAATTAACTTCAGAAAATTGCTCAATGAAAAATGAAAAAGTGATTATGCTGAGTGTATAATAACTCCCGGTGAAATTCAACCATAATTATATAATTTTCTGTTGCCTTTGTACACATACTTGAACAGGCATTTTGGTTTGTCTATGTGCAACAGAAATCAGTACAACCCTTAACTAAAAAGAAATAAAGCTACTTGTTCATAGCAGCACAGTATGTTTATTATTTAGCTTAGACATTCCTAACACCACCATTGGTTTATTTAGTAGCACTAGCAGTAATAACTTTCCAACTGTCTAGACATAAACAAACCACATATATCACATTTGACCAGAGGCAATGTGACCTAAAAACTGTTGTACTAAATACATTTGCTTTTCTCTTTACAACCTGCTATCTAACATTAAAACTGGTTAAAAGGTCAAGTTACGATTCATGTGAAACAATAAAATACTGCATCATGAATTAGTTCAAACACATGAATAAAATACACTTACATGTTCCCGGAAAATGAAGGCCAAGATGGCGGCTGCCAGCTCTGCTAAGAAGATGAGGAGGATGAGCATGAAGAACTGCAATAAGAAAAGAACAAACATATTACAAATTGTGAGAGCAGGCTGGGTAAGGTGAGGTAATCTAGTAGAAAGTGCATGTAGTCACTCAAAAACTCATTCTGGCTGTAGCCTCTTCACTCGCAATTAACTATTCATGAGACTGAGGGAAAGAAAATCAGATGAGATGTTGCTGTTGTGCCTTTTGCACCATCTAAGTTTTCTGGTGAGGGATATCGCAGTATGGAGATATTTTTACTTTATCTGTAATGTTTGACAGTATGGCAATAAACACATCCTTTTTTAAATTTTTTTTCAATTAGATGCATTCTTACTATGAGTAGGTCTCTTCTCTACAGATCTGACATGTAACCTGGCCTGGTGGCGTCACCTGCTTCTTTACATGAAGATAGATATGTTTATTACCATACTTTATAACATTCCATGCAAATTCATCTACCAGAAAAGTTACAAATAAGGGTCTACAGTTACGGTAAATACATCAGTTTGGCAAATTTGTTAGAGGTAATATATGGACACTTAACAACATTGTCAACACATTTTTCTGTTCTAAAAACGCTTGTAGGAAAATACTGTATACTGCATCTAAATAGGGTACAGTATAAAACGCTGTCATCATGTTTTCCAGTGGACTCACAAAGAGCAGCAGACACTTGTTTTCTTTGATGGCTCCACAGCAGCCCAGGAAGCCCAGCAGGAAGAGCATGCCCCCCATGCCCAGGACGATGTAGACCCCCGTGAAGAGCAGAGGGTTGGCTGCTACAATTTCCCTGAATCCTGTGGGGTCCACCAGCACCCACACCCCAACTCCCAGCAGGAATGAGCCTCCCAGCTGACGGGGAGAAGAGAGGAGAATTCTGGTGGTTAGACAAAATAGACATGCTCAAGAAAATTTAATGAGGAATCAGAGGATTATTTGGTATCCCCAGTGGCAGGCAAAATATTTAACAAGATTTCTAATAATGGAAAATGATGAGCCTCTTTTCACTGATGCAAATGCAGCTATGGGGGAAAATATGTTACCATTTTCTTTTGTCCTCTCAAAAAAAGATTTGTGAAAGTTATAAGCTGTATTCAAGTTTGTCCCCTGCCTTGTATGTAACAGATATAATTTTGTTTACATTTCATAAGATAAAATAAAGGTAAAAGTTAAATATAAGTTAACAACGTTGGGATTACCCCGATACCCAGATGTAACAGATGTTTGTAGATATCGGGTCAACAGCAAATAATTAAAGGAGACATATTATGCTAATACAACTTCTATGAGCATATTGCAATTGTTAAATGTTAGCTTTTTGACGATTTTGATGGATTCATGAATGTACTTCAGTATTGTCCTGTATGAAAAGATTTGTGTGTTCTGAAAATCCAAGTTTTAACCTACACCCTATCCACCACGCATATCCAAAACTCAGAATTTGAGATGAGTCATACACAAAAATGTTGCATATCATTTATTCACATTAATATACACATAAAACGAAAATCTGCTGCTTACTAATGTTACTATGAAGAGGTAGGGCCACCAGCAGAGAATCGATTCAATGAAAAAAATCTATGCATAGTTTTATAACTAAATACAAGAAATAAACATGTCTCCAAGGTAAATCTTGATTTCCCTATGAATAAACAAGAAAAATCTCAACAGAATACCAAATATTCTTCTAATTTTCACAGCATAAAAACCATAACAGACACCAGAAAGACAATTGTGAGTAGTACAATGGCAGAAATAAAATCAAATTGGATTTATCTACATCGCTGTCTTGGTGGGAATGGAAGGAGAAACACCCTCTTTTCGCTAACCCCCCAACCTGCCAGGGATATCCACAGTGGTGCAAGCTTATTTCCAAGCTAGCACGCTTCTCACTAAAGCCCTATACGTGCAGGGGCTCAAACTGACTCATGTGATTAAGAAAGGAGGGTGCTGAGGTGGGGGAGAGATCCGAGCTGTCTCCCTGTCACGGGCAAAGACCTGGGTCTCCACAAATGAGCGTCGCTGAAGCAGAGCAGCAGAGGTAGTCATTTTGAGAGCTCATTGGGCTTGAAAAATATGTTTGTGTGTGAAATAGGTAAAGACAAACAGGGTACTGGATGGGAGGGGAGTTGTATAATGAATTAGTTACTCTGTCATAAAAATAAATTGTGAATGGAAATAAGACTCTAAAATGTCACATGAGCTGTAATATTCAAGTGGTCAATAACATAAGGTGCACAACTGATTTAAGTTTGGTCCAATATGGATTTTTGAGCCAATAACGTTATCCATTATCTGTCCTGCCAATATTGCAATCCATAGCAACACCCATCATTGTATGTTAAGTTATAGCAAAGTTCACGTTATTGCTTTACAGTTTCAAATCTATGATTTAAACAATTTAAACTAAAAATTATTATGTAATAAAATATTATTGTCATGTCATTTATAGAGCAATAAAATTGGTTCAGAAGTTGACAAAATAGAAAACAGGAAGATGCTGAAGTATTGTTAGTGACAGGGAAGTGGGATGTAGTAACAGATTTTGTTGTGAGTCCATAGCTCTGCTGGACACTCTAAATGGTTTGGCTGCACTTAATAAAGCAGGAAAAGACAAACCCCTTTCCTCTGCCCCTTCCCCCTCACAGAATAACAGGATTACTGTTGATTGTCCGATCGGGGCTGATAAACCCAGGTGCCAGTCACAAAGCGTGTGGCCTCAGATGTGTCAGCGCCCTCAAATCTAATCACCGTTGAATTTGATACAATCAGCACCAGATTGGCTCCATCTAATGAAATGCAAATGTGTTTCCATTAGAGAGATGGGCAGGGGGCGGCCACCACACCATCTTAAATCATTAGAGCAGAGACATGTCCAGAGAGTGGTCCTGGGACCAGAGTGTGCTACAGTTTATTGTACAATGCAATTATCCAATTGTCTTCAATATTAGGTCTTCAATATAAGAAGTCTTAGAGGGACTAATAAAGGATACTTAAGCTGTCCTTTATGAAACGGGGTAAATTCATTCACTGCATTTGATTCAGTCTTCACCCAGTGCCGCAAGGGAAACCTTTCAGGAGCAGTGGTCACTGTATTGCAGGTCAGGACCACTTTAGTTGGAGAATTTTACCTATAGGGTATGGTTTGGATTGATGGCCGAAACCACAGTGCCCAAGAAGAAACCCAACCAGACACAGATGAACATGTAAACACCATATAGAAAGACCTGGGACAGCACCCAGGTGTCAAACCCTAGATGCTGGCTGCTTATTTGTCTTGTTTGTTTTGGTATACGTTAAAAGCATATTACTAATTTTTATTCATTTTTTGCTTGTTAACAGATATATTCTTGAATTCTTTTACAATCTATATTTATTTTCCAGTAGAATCTCTACATTTTAAGCTTTTATTAAAACCCCAAACATCATGTATTTTGGACACTCAAACATTGAACAGAGAAGTTCTCGGAGAGCCATAGAAATACTTACAAAGATGAGGAAATTGAAGACAAACATGAGGTACTTGATGCAGCTGAGGCAGTCCCCCTCCATGGTGGTCCCCCGCGCTGAAGCCTCTCCCTGCCCCTGAAGAAGAAAAGACAAAAAACAACTTGAATAGTGCCAAATATTCCCCGTCTCCCTCCATTCTCCTCCTGCCAATGACACAACACAGACTGTAAAAAACATGCTCACATATTTAATGAATTCTGCCAGTCAAGCTCAAAACCCACACAGACGCACAGCTCTGTCAGTTCATTTGGTCCAATTTCAACTGAAAATCCCAGCATTATTCCCCTGGTCTATCGCACCTTCTCACCAATCTCTAAGTAACTACAAGTTTGTCCTACGCACTGTCGGTCAACCTGACACATCTCGCCATGCAGCTTATGTAATTTTAAAATGCACTTCCACTGTCAGCTGGCATGATTTTCCTTTCAGTAGTGCTGGTTGGACAGATGGGGTTGATAGCTTGTTCTATTTAAGGGCATTTTAAGGATATGACTCTGGGCCTTGGCCTGCCCCTTTAATGTAATGAGAAGCAGAGGCCCTTTGCTCCCATAAGCCAGCCTTCTCTTTGACAGAAACACACTCTACCTGATGAGAGCCCATCTTGGTGAAGCAGAGACTATAATGAAGAATGCCCAGTCCTGCATTAGGCCAATATAGGGTCTTTCTCTCTATAAATGGTCCTATATACGTCTATAACTGATCTGCCAAGTAGCTTTTAGTGAATTTAACCCATTAGATACAAATGAATGAGAGCTTCCACAACGGCAGGCTGTCTTAGGAATCATCTCCTCTACAGAGAGGACATGTCCAACCACACAATTATGAAGCAAAAATGTACCTACTGTTTATACTCATTTGTGTTGCGCTCTGTGATATGGTAGATAATGTTTCTTAAATGCATTATCTAATCACTATAGCATTTCATCAGAAGTTTTCTTTTGATTAAATACTATGTTATAACTAACATTTCTGGTGCAGCGTTTGCCATCTGCTTGTCTCTATAGAGTTGTTTTTTCCCCACAGTATAGCATTGCACTTATCCACCGTGCATTCATCCAATAACAGATGTTTTATTGCTCAGTGCCCTGAAAAACATGCATTTATATTGTGAGCAGAGTTGCCTCTCTCAGATCTGACCTATAGGAAACTCCTCATTGTCCCCATGGAGATACAAGTTTAATGCCATACTGTGGAATATTGGAAAAGCATCTCTATGGAGAAAAGCAGCATCTCTACCAGAAAAGTTATAGTGCACCTTTAAAAGTACTTGCACAAATTACTGCTACTGCTGGTTCATAATAGACCCTTACTTATGATCCCCAGATTCCCAGTACAAAGTAACATGAGGGGGACATGCAAATGCCTTTTAGAAATCAAATTAATGAATTCAATTTAGTCAAGAAAATTAATTACTCCAGAAAAATAAACCCGCTGTGTTTGCTTTTGTAGCTATGATTATTAATTGGCACTCCTATAGCGATACAGCCTGAGTATCAAGCGGATTAAAGCCCAATTTCTCAAAGGATTTCTATTTACACAATAAAGCAGCTACACACTTCCATGTCCAAATGGAAAAGTCTAAAAGCCTTCCTCTCCGTCTTTGTGAACACTTTGGAGTATGCCTGTCAGTAGTAATCTCCTGATCTCGCACGGGTTTTCTGTCAGACTGCTAGTGTCAGTGCGATTCTCCAGGGTTAGCACGGACTCAGCCTCTGAATCCTCTCTCTCTTTGAAGGACTTCTGCCTCCTGCCACTGCCCCTCCTTCACCCCAACTTTCACTTTATCGACCGAAGAACCAACATTTTCAGCAGGGATAACCTTAACCTTAGCAAATCCACTATAGAAAACACTGCTGCTGACAGGCGGTGTGTTACTTTTAAGGAGTGGAAAAAGCAGTCGCAATTTGAAATTCAAGTATACGAAATATATACAACAAAATATGTTCTCAGATATAAGTCAACAGGATCCAAACACTGTTATTCCAATTACAGCAGAAACTCAAGTGGTTAGTTAATGACCACAAACCAAAAGATTGATGGCTCAACCCTCACTGTTCAATATGTTGAGGTTTTCCTGGCAAATGCTTCACCCAGTTTACCTATTCTGTCTTTGTACACTACCATTTGTTCAGTAATTGCTGCTACAACTGTCATATGTGTACCATGATTAACAACAATAAATCATGACACACCTACTACTGCGTATTACTTTGGCTAATTTTAAATATATCCTTGGTTCACTACAACTGATTTGTTTCTTGTACAAAATACACTAATTGAGCACTTTCTTTTGATGTTAATCTTACTTCATTATAATCTCCCATTTAAGTAAGCAACAGAACAAATTCTCATTTAGTTTCCATTATCTTCCTAATTCCATTGTGTTTTAAACATGTCTGAAAGTTTTCCCTCATTATTCAAGTTGCCGTGATAAGAAGTGAACAATAAAAAGCAGGCTGCCTTTGTCGTGCTGTGAGAGCCAGTTAACACAAAATGAGAACATTTCTTCCCCTGGCTGTGCACACGGCTTATTATTTCCCCCACTCCACTCGCAGGGAAAATTGATTTGGCGCTACAGTTAAACACCTCCTCTAAATCATAATGAGATGCTGAGGTATTGATCACAACCCTAAGAGCGGCCTGAGAGCCTTGTATAGGATGAGGAGGGCTTTAATTAACCCTTTCCTTTTCAGAGGCGCGCTGAGAGGCCTAATGAGAGCGCAGCAGGTCTTAATTGAGATTTGCATGTATTAGAGAGACAGAGCAACAGCACGGCCATTATCCCTGCTCCGGCTCCCTTTGTCAGGCTTTGGCGAAGAAGATTATAAACTGTCGGGTGCACACAAGCTGGAAAAGAAATCTGATCTGAAACAACAACGTGTGATAGTAGTTATTAGGAGGGAAAGTAAAAAAAGAGGTGAGAATAAAAGTACTTTTGAATGTACTTTTGCATTCAGGGTCAGAATACAAAACATAATGCATTCTTTATTTATTAAGGCTTGGGACTAACATAAAAACAGTGTAATAATAAAAATATCATAGGAAGATCATATGATATTATTTGAAATCTTACATTTCTTAAAGGTGCAGTATGATGTGGTAGTACATCATCTGCATGATGTCATGAAAACTTGCAGGGCGAGATCTTCCCCCAGGCCGAATAGCAAGTTTGTGGAGATGCAACCCTGGCCAGAATAGACTTTTTTTTCCTTTTTTTTTTTTTTTTTTGCTTAAATATTACATACTGTGACTTTAGACAGCTTTTTCTATATGGCTGTTCCCTTCTGATTTTGTATTGGTAAAATCTGCCTCCAACATGCTGTAAGTTATATTGATGAGGTACTTTTTTTTACTGGCAAAGGACTGGCACCATTGCTTTCTATGATCCTTAAAAACAACTAAACCCAATCTTCGTATGTAGCTTTTTCACAAGGCGTACTCATGAGATTCCAACTTTGCTGCTCTGTTCAAAATGCGCTGAAGCTTTCCTCCCTATTCACTTTCATCTTTGAGGTAAAAAAAAAAAAAAGATCTCAAGCCAATTTTGCATAACTTCACAGTGTAGAAAATGCTACAAAAATGAAGTGGGCAGTACGGTTATAGCAAAGACCCCGACATAAGAAGTCTATGGTCCACAGCAGCGGTGAATAAATCAACCTGCCACCGAGACCCTAGAGAAAGTGCAGCGTAAACAAACTGGTCGTTCCCATGACTCCCGGGAGATCACAGGTCCTCATCCATCACTGGCCGGCCGCATACGCTTCAGTGCGCTAAAGTAGTAAGGGAAATTCTGCAGGCAACATTATCTATACACAGGGAAGTCAAGTTCACTCCCCAGGAGCCGTGGCTACACCAACAAATTACTGCAAGTTTAAGAAGTAAGGCAAGTTCAAAATTAAGGTGTAGTGCAGTTGGAGAGCACTAGGGGGCGGCTGACTGCTGACTGAAGTTTGTAAAAAGGAGCAAAAATTGTTAATAACATACCATGTTAACGTGAAACAAATAAACAGACATTTGAGGAGTTCTGTAAGTATTAAATCTTCTCTCCAATTTATGTCTCTCTTTTTTAATTTTAATCTTCATGATTATTTATGTTTTGATTTGTATTTATTATGATTTTAATGTATTTCTTATTCTGTAAAGCACTTTGAATTACTTTGTGTACGAATTGTGCTATACAAATAAACTTGCCTTGCCTTGCCTTAAATCTTAGGATGTCTAAAAGATAACTGTCAGTATGCCTCTCAGCAAGTGGCAAAATGTACACCGTCCAAGACCCACAGTAGCAAACCTGAATAGTCAAATGTAATTAAGTACACAATTTTTAACTTTGTTCTTCAGTGTAACTGCAATCCTTAATTTGTCCAGAAATGGTCGAAGATAATAATAATTTAAAAAAAAAAGCTTTCAAAGGTATCAAGGTCATCTACAATGTTTTTGAAATCATTTTTCAGTCTCAAGGTACTGAAGGGAGGCAGTACTAATCTAACTCTGGGTAATATAAAGGTCTTACATTATGTAAGATTGAGTCTTGTGAGCTTTTAGCCATGTTATAATGCCATAGCCTCCCCAAAAGCATACCCAGAGCTGTGTTTGGTTTCATTCACACGTTTGAGTAAACCTGGTTTGTTAGTCTACAGTCTAGTCTACATGTTCAAAGATGAAAATGCTCTGTCCCACCTTGTGATGTCACGAAGTGGTAATTCTCAAGTTAACAGATACCTGTTACATTTTGTCAGTAGAGACCAGCAATTCCCAAACTTTAATTATATATAAATTATCTAAATGATTCTAGAGAAGGTGAGTAGAGTTTAAAAACACAGTGGAGCACTTCCTGTATTAACACATGACATCACAAGGTGGAACAGAATGTTTTCCGTTTGGAAACGGAGGCTGTGTGTTAAACATGTGTGAAACAACATTATAACATAGATCAGAAACTAGCGTAATATGAGCTCTTTAAATACTAGATTATCCACCGGACTTTAGACTGAAAGGGACTTTTGGATGATGATTTCCAAGACATTGTCTGTAAAACTACAGGTAGACAACTACCTTTGAAACATTTTCCAACT